CTCATGATCATGTTCTTCCAGGACCCAGACACAAGCGTGCCAGACGTGCGATGCACGATTCTGAATGAAAATTCTAAGTCTGGCACTCGGCCATGCAGATAGAGAACACTTTGTGGCTCACATGGCCCCGATCCTGAAAGGAAAGCGAACTCGACGTGCATCCCGGCTTCCGATATTCTGCTCTATTATGCTCTGAGCTCCTTAAAGATCTTGTCCAGAATGGCTTCACCACTCAGTGCCGATGGCCCAATGCCCATGATTCCATTGGCCTGCGTCAGAAGAGCAATTCTGACGCTCAAGCCTTCATGCACGAATGTGCTTCGTACACGAACACATGATCAGTGAGAACCTCTTGCTGTCAGCTGGTCGATCAATGGTCATCCAGGGTGAGCATGATAGCTGTGCTAGCCTTCCTTCTCAGCTCCTGGCCTTTTGGGTGAAGAACAAGTTGTTCTCGTTGGAGTGACATCCCATCCTCGAAGTCAAAGCAGCAAACAAAGACCGCCCTCACGGCTGATACAGTTGCATGCCAAATCGTCCTGGCACTCACTTGTGGGTTGTGTTGGATCATGTCCCCCAAGCTGACCTTGTCCTGCATGGCTTCGGTGATGCTTCACAGGGCCGTGCTGGCACAATGTCCGCATCCTCAAACCAGAAGCCTGAGATAGAAGATCCCTCGGTGTAGCCTGCATGGTTGAGCCGCACCGGCATGCTCCATAAACACTCTGTCGACAACATAGTTGATACATGTTCACTGCGCACATGCTGGCTTTGCTTGGAGGCACAGAAACAGAAAAGGAATCTGAGAAATGACGAAGACTCCAATGACAAACACTTCTCAAAACCTCGACAAACTGCAAAAGGTGCCTGAAGTTGGATGGTGCTGCTTTCCGAGAGTGAGATGTTTCAGGGAATCTTGTTTGCTAGGACGGGAAATGAAGGTCGTTGAACTGGGTGAGAGTGAACAGCCAAGAGACCCCGGTGAGAGATGTCAATCGTAGAACTCCTTTTCATCGGGGCGGTTCCTTGTCAGAAAGTGCCAGCCCCAGATCAACCATATCCTAGTTAATTGTCCAACGGCGGCCGCCAGTAAGCCTTGAGATCGTGTATCATAGGCGTGGGCGTGACAGGGAGGGAGCTTGAGGAAAAAATGAGTGTTGTTGTTGGTCATTATTAGTTAGCTTTAGCAACTCGCTTTTTCTGTCCACTTTGGACAAGAACAAGAAGAAGGCAACTGGGCCTGCACGCTGTGGAGAACTGTCCAAAAGTGCAACGTTTAGCATGATAGCTCAACCCGGCAGCCACCCGGAAAAACTCCACAAAATTTTGCAAAGTGCCACATGCAAACATGACCCACATGCAGAGAAGTAAAATACACTTCTCGCCTACTCTATCTGCATCTGTGTTTAACAGCTCATGACTTGCTTTGAAGAGTATGCTTCCTTCGTGTCGGGAGACAGAGGCGTTGATCAAACAAATTCAACGCAGGAAGTGTCAGTCAAAGTTCCGATGCCCATGAAACATCTGAGCGCAACAAGCTCTCCTGTCATGACTGCAACTCCTTTAGACACTCTAGTTGCACGTATGCTCCAAAGCCCATGCTGGCGTGCGTGCAGGGGTGAGTGTGTGTGTGTGTGCGTACGCCCGGATTCCTGATGCAAAGCTAAGAGCTTCTGGATTGCTCCGTCTCCACGCAGCTTGGACTGTCATAGTTGTTGCTTCAGGGAGCATAGTAGGAGACCAAGCTCCCACCCAGCCGAGAAAGCAAGGCATGAGGTACATAGAGGAGTCCAAACCCTTCCTGTTTGAGGAAATAAAACCCAACCTCTATAGGTATGCGAACAGTAGCCAAATGCCCCAATACTTACGATAAACCCGAAAACTTAAAACAGAACCCTATTTAAGCCCGGCAAGTTAACCTGAGCCCGAAACAGTAAATAGTGTCCTCTAGCTTGATGCACCCCTACATTCACCCCAAGCCCTGAACTCCCCAAAAAAACTAAACATACATAAACCATTAACCTTAATAGTCCTAAAAAGCCATAAAAGTGAAACCACGAAGTCGCCCACCGATCAAGCAGAACGGCCGGTCTCACGGATGCATGGAGGTTTGTTGGGATCGGGTTTTCAAATTAGAGCTTCAGGGCTTCGTTTATGTTTAAGACTCGACCTATTAGCGGGCAAGAGAGGCTGTCTGGGCTCAGGCTTTAGTTCGGGCCCGCCCCTCAATGGCATCCCCCCCCCGGTCCCCACCCTAAACCCGAGCACGGACTCTTACCTAACCCACCACGAATTGCGGAGAGGAGGAACGCAAACCCTAAACCATGAACTTAAACCCTCAACCCGACTCTGTGCCCTGACCCCCGAAGTGCTGATGTGAACCAGCAGGCTGGGAAGAGGCTGAAACCAGTGGATTGCGCATTCCCCCCCCCCTCTCCCGCCGCGCCGCTGCGTGTCTCCAAATGCCATTGCATCTGCCGCTTTTTCTAGACACTGATTCTAGACATTGAAAAACACGGGTGCATCTGTCAGGACCACAGAGCCCATACAAGCCGAGCCGACTCCAACGTCCTCCCTTAGGTCCCCCCCCCCCCCCCGCACTCATGCTAACTACCGCCCCGCCCCTGCTTGTCCTTCAAGAAGCAAAACCGGTTTCCAAGCATCGTCTAATGGCAAGGCTAAGGAACGACAGCGCTCATGCTAGACAGCAGGGATCACATCACTTGCCTTGGTAGTAGCTGCATTTGCCGGACCTCAGAGGTGGTCTTGAACAGGATGGGCATGAGATGGCATGAGGCCAATGCAAAGCAATTGCCGAGCAAGTAGCTGGCAGCGGCCAACAGGACAACGGCCCGATGAGCATTGCAGCCATCTTGCAGAACTACTCTTCGCCACGTCGAACCTGGTCGGGGCATTCTGTACGATCCCATGTGCCGCCTCAACAGCCACCAAACTGTGGGGCTTCAAGGCTTGAACCGAGGGCTTAGATTTCGGGGCGACTTCTTCATCTGGCTGCGGTTGTGTGGTGAGGTGTGTCGCTTGGGGTTTTGGGATGGTTTTGGGTTCAGTGGGGGGGGGTTCATCTGGGCCGAGTCAGGTTAGGTGTGGGGAGGGGGAGTGTGCCTAGCTGGACAACACCGTGGCACCATGAATCTCAAGAAGAATCCAATGGACCGACGTTGCGAACAAAAGGCACGGAAGCAAGAAGCAATGCACAACAGATCGAAACACTCAAGCCCTGGACGCTGGGTCGAGGTGGTGGCCGCCTTCAGCCATGGCTGAATTCAGAATCGAGCAGCGAAAGCATGCGAAAGCATGAGCAAGCTCAGGCGGCGACAGTGTCCGCAGTTGGCACATGGATAAGCACAAACCTGCTGCACCCCAGATGCCTAGCTGACTTCAGCATTCTTGTTGCAGCTAATCTGGCGCACGCCGCTGCCGGTATCAAGAATCACCGACACTCTCTGTGGAGGGGTCCCCACGACAAGGTCCACCTGAGAAGGAATTTAACTCTGCAACCGAAGTCAGCTGACACTATGGATGTGCGCAGCAATCTGGGTCCAGAGCATAGTAGTATGCATAATAATCCACGTTCCTCAGAGCCCCAATGAATCCAACGATGCTCAAGTTCAAGTCACGTTCATGAGCTCAACATGGAAGGGTACATCGAGAAGACTTGCGGATGGCAGACCCTCCCAAGTCGTCCCAAATCAAAGCCTTAGCCCTAACACATTGTGGAGTTCTGGGCTTGGGACGAGCCGTACGCTATGTGAGCATTTGCTTTTTCCAGCTTGTTAACATGGCTTGGATGCCTGCCTACACGAGCCTGCCCACCTTGCGGCATAGCCAACACAGAGCTGATGTTCAGGGATTCAACCTGTGCGAACCTACGCGAAAAATGGGAATCAAGAAAGCCCTTAAATCTAAAAAACAAAAAACAAAAAGTTCAGGGGTTAAAGGCTTTAGGAATTGTGCTTCTTTGCTTGCTACCGATGCTCGTTTCAAGATGGCGTGATGGCGTTTGAAAGATCGAGAGTTCTTGAGGTTACACCGCCCAGCACTAAGAGAATCACGGACAGGAATTCCATGCACAACGGCAGCCCAACCCTACCCGCAACTTACGTGGAGCCTACGCGGATGGATCACGCCAACTGCTTTCACGCCTCTCGTTGCAGTAGTACAATGTGGCCCAACCCGTTTGGAACCTCCGAGCATTCCCCCCACCCTACCCGAAGAGAACGCCATGTTACACCTATAAAGGGCTACACAAGGTGTGAAATAAACGCTGCTCAAATGTCTGATTCGGCATAATCCTCACTTGCTTCATTTGAGGGTCTGCATCTCTATGCCTGACACATGCAGCGTTTTTGTCTACGATGAGGCGCACACCCATACAGCCGAGCGTGCTCGATCTTGCGGTCTGCATCATAAATGCCGAAGCTGGTTTGCAACAGGCCTCACAGCATCTGACTGCCCACCCGAAGGCATGAAGAAGAACCAACAGCAGCACTGCTGAGCGCTGCAAAATGCGCTGATGTTTTCTTCGAGCACGGGGCAAAGGAGGACCAGGAGCAGGCGTTTTCGCATCGAGCTCCTGAGCAAGGTCTTCACTGTCACTCACCATCTGTCGCTTTCTAACATTTTCTAACTGTGCCAAGGCACAGCAGTCGCTTCCGAGGTTCATCCTAGCAATAGCTTCGGATGTCCATTGCGGCCAAGGTGGACCTAACAAAGCGTTGTATTACGTGAGGGCTGAAGTGGCCTGTGGAACATGACATATTGCGAAGCATGTCCAGGCTGGCTATCTCTGCACCGGCTAGCATGAACGTAGTCCACAGAAGGGAGATACGTGTGTTATCTTGCTGTCCAGTTAAACGACGCTGCTGGGCACCTGAAACATGCTGAAACATGCTGAAACACATTCTTGAGCCCAGGAAGCAAGCAAAGACTTGACTTGCCCTCACTCCAGGCCACAGCTATAGAAACATTGCCGGGATGGCACTCACTACACACAGGTCGGAGCTCTTCTTGGAGTTCTCCCGGAGCTCCCGACTGAGAACCTCGAGGTCACCAAGCAGGCTCTCTTCTGCAATGTCGTGCAATCTTCTTGTTTACACAGATCCGCTTTGCTCGGCCTGGAGCAGGTTCTCGTGCTCTGCCAGGATTTCCAGGTTCGTTGGCTGCAAAGCAAAGAAAGCAAAAGGCAAAACATGGTCATGAGTCATGCTTGCTAGCTGGCCTGAGACCTATAGAAGCAACGCTACCATGCTACTCTTGGTGCAAGCCGATTCAACTCTTAGGAATTGTGCCCGGCAAACTGGTCTTTCCCAAACACTGCCTCCGTGCAAACTCTCAGTATGTGCTTCACACCAATAACCTTCTTCTCCATGCGGTCCTTTGAGCAGGAAAAGAAGGTGGCAGGGGCAGCAGGTCAGGGCTTAGTGACAGACATCCTGCATTTTTGTATCATCACCTTGAGACTGAACAATTTCAGGCCTCGTACAGCTGGTCAACATAGTCCTCGATGTTCCGAACATCTGCTTGTGGGAGCAGAGGCTCCTGTCAGCCACGTTGCAAACCGAAAATCTTTCTTGAAAAGAGGCACTCGGGCACTGTGTCGCCGTCTGTCGCCCTGTGACCTAGTGTCGCTCTCTCCTGCCGACGCTGCTGCGGAGCCGGCGGGGGAGGTGGTGGTGGTGGAGGCGGTGGCTCCTTGAAGTCCAGAAGCTAGGGAGCGCACGAAACGGGCAACGGCGGGGAAATGTGACCATCGCGCACAGCCACATTGGAAAAACTCGAGGTTTGGCAGACGCCCCCTCACGAGCAGAAGCCAGTTCGGGACCGACAATTCACATTTCTCCCCCTCAAGCAACTATGCTTCAATAAATGCCACTGCCAAACAGATCTACAGTCTGAACAAGTTGGAACGGATTCCTCCCGTGACGGCTCAGGCTCTGCCACTGCCCCGTCCTGTCGCTGCGCCTCTCTCGGGTCCATGTGCGCAGCCTCTTTGTTTCTGAGCTTAGTGATTGTGATTGGGATCCCGTGATGGATTCCCAAAAGCTCTGACCTTCCACAATTCGATCTCTTTAGGGAATGTATGTTGCCGAAGACACGCGGCTTTATTCAACACCTTGCTTTTGGACTTGCTCAATCCTCTCTCAATGCTAAACCCTGAAGCTGACGCACGGTATTCCATTGTTTGAGGCTGAATTGCATTGTACAGGCAATGGGAAAGGAGTTCTAACTCAGCAGCTTTCATTCAGATCCTACTGATGCACTAGTACTTGCAAGCCTCATGCTCCGCCAGGGCCATTAGCAGCTGCTCAACTTCACCAGCCTGATGCACATGCCCTTCGTAAATCTGGGTGCAACCTCACAAGAAGCGGGCCTTAGAAACTGGGATATACTTTCTGTACTTGTCCATAACCTCCTGCGTCAGGCCACGAACCTCGGATCCTGCAGCAAGCTAAGTCCCAACAGCTCAGCGGCAGTTTGCATGTTTCATGAGGAGTCTTCGCTCCTCGCAATCCACGGGGCACACGTATGGTTTTCTGCCCAGGTTGCGACTCTGATCTGACCTTGCGCAAGATGTTTTTTGCTCAGATGGCCACGCCATCAAACTGGCACAACTCGCTCTGTTCAACGAGGCGACGCGAAATGTCGAACTCCCAAACTGCAACTCTCTCACAAAGCACAACAATGCACAGCTCTCACAACGAAACGTCGTTTGCACAAACCACTGAGGGAATCCTGCTCCGGTTGATGCTGCCGGTCGTCACACTGGCGCAACCCTTCAGGCACCTTCCCTTTCCTCAAGGGTTCCTTGATGTTTCTTTAGGAAGTTTGTTTCTGGCTCGGTTGTCCCATCTCAGCCGAGTCCGAACAGAGGTTTCTCTGCGTTCGCATATGTTCGCATGGAGGCCAAACAGTTCAATTCGCAATGCTGCAGCAGCCGCCTCCGATGGGACCGAAAAAACGAGCATGGAAAATTGCGAAAAGCCGAATACGTGGGCTGCTTGTGAAAACAGATGTTCTCCTTGCGCGCTTTCGACAAAGTGCTCGCAGTGTGTTCTGCTGCGCCAACTGGGAAGAAGCGATCACCCCAAGGCACTACACTGTGCGCCACCATTCCAAACCTATCCAAGCATGTCCCATGTGATTTTGACGCTTCTGGTCTTGAAATCAGGCAACAATTGGCAGGACACGTCCTTCTAGGCCGACGAAGACAACACATGCACAGGACTGACCACACCACTGCATTCAAAGGTCGAGCCATACCTTCTATCAGCGAAAGGCTACCCGGCCCAACAACAAAGCCGCTCAAGCATACACGCAAACAGGGCAAAGCTGCAGGATTGCCATACTCATCGAAGTGGTGAACTTCAGTAGTGTAAGATACCTGCACAAAAACGAGCAATCAGACATCTGAACATCTGAGCAGACACGTGCAACAACGATGCTGCTGCTCGGGTCACTATGAGCACTAGCTGGTCTGGGTCTGCATCGATATGACCTTCCGGTTTACTTTCGGTCGGCATGAACAGACTGAACACAACTTTACTCCAGCTGAAGAGCAAAGAACCGGCATGTGACAAGTCTTGTGTTGCGAGTCTTGGGTATCCCACCAAGGCGGACTTTCTTCTTCGTGGACATCACATCCACCTTGGCTTTCGTTCCACGGTGGTGTGTGGTGGCGTCTGAGTCTGACAGCATACCGACGCAGGTAGATGAAAAGCGACACACGTGGGAGAGACTTCCTCAAGCCTTGACACCTTCTGGGTGGCTCAGCCCCGTTTGCCAAACTTCAGCTTCTTTGGCTTGCTGCACATTCTCTTGCTAACACAGGCCGTGCCTGCTCAACGAGGTGTATTGATGGCAGCGCTTCTAGGTATGATTTGAAAGTGCTGGACGCGGACTGGGGTAGTGATCTAGGTTGTAAAAGCTGAAGATGTAAAATTCTACGACCTTGGGTAATTTAACTTGGCTTAGTGCGGCTTGGTGTCGAGGTGTTGTGGTCGGGATTGAGCGTTTGGGACTTGCACTCATAAGTCTCATAAGTTCTGCAGGCTCCCGCAGCACTCGACATCTTTAGACTCACCCGCACTCCAGCTTGCATCATGAGTGCGCAGTTGTGAATAGCGGTGTGCTGGGCTTCAGGCTGCATGCAGCACATGCGGACATGCACAACAAAGGCCTACAGTTAAGCTTTGTCAGTAGGGCTGAGGTGCTTGAAGCTTGTGGATGTGAGGCTCGGCAAGCCCGGCCATGGACTGTGTTGCTGCGATTGCTTAATGACCCTGCGAATAGTCTCAACTACAAGCGATAGTACAGAAACTGCTTCCTTCAGATTCGTGAGGTGATGGTGACAGCACCATTGCTTGTACTTTGTGTCTGCAGTCAGATGCAGCAACGTTGATAAACAAAAACAACATCACATGCACTGCTGATCCTCTCTCGGGGCCTTCTTCGTTTTCTCGTGCACTTCGATCGTAAGACAAGACGGCTTCCAGCTTTCGGATTCCGTGTTCACTAACAGCGCAGTGTGTGGCAAGAAATTCAGCCCAAACGGGTCACCGCGTCGTGATTTGACTATTGGTTGCATTCAATGATGCGAGAATTGACATGCTGAATGCCATGCTTCCACTGCGACGGTCTATGTTACAGGGTCATTGACCTGGCGTTAACTCTTCCTCCTCATCAAGTCTCCGCTACGAGCAGAAACCCCAGTTCAGAGATGTTCGTGAATCGCCTCTCCTGACAAGATACACACGTGAATTGACGTGAGGAAGCCTTTGCTTCTTGCCTCCGCCTTGCATCATCCGCCTCTGGTGGGGAAAGTACCTGCCACGGCAGGCAACTTGCCCCTGGAAGCTGACGTGACATACTTGGCCAGGACCACGTTCGCGTGCTCGAAACCAGCGGCCTCCTCCAGGGCTTCACATGGAACTAGGTTCACGAGGCTCACGAGGCTTCATGGTGCAACAATTTGTGCAGGCTCATAACTCAGGCTCTCAGTCCTGCCGCATGCGCGCTGCCGGTGGAGTTTCTGGAGAATCAGCGCGAGATAGGGTGGCTGGACCCAGGCCAGCCTCATTAATCTCGTTAACATCTCACATCTCTGCGCTCGGCAAGCTCGGCACAAGCCTGTGCTGCTTCAGGGCAAATCTGCCCTACTCAGATGCAGGAGACTTGGCGCGGCACCATCGTTAACGGCGCTGGCGTCACGAACTCTGGCCGAGCGGATGGCCTGAGTGATCCCATCATCTGTCGTTTTCTCACATTGTCCACACTCGGTCCTAATCACAAACAATGCAAAGCGCATGCAACCCGAGATCGTTCGTTGCAGCGATGAGGAACCAATATGGTGGTTTGATCTCAACTGTTTCTGCCCGTTGCCAGATGCAAACAAAGGCACGTTCCACTCGAAGCAACGACAATGCAACGCGACCCAACCCTTCCGCAGAGAATAGCACGAGCGCACTGGCGGGAAACCCCGTAGGAAAATCACAACCCAGCTGAAGTCGTTGAGCCCCAGCTTGCTTGCACATACCGGTTGAAAACCGATGTCCTCCCTCGATCTGATAGGCTATCTTGAGCTCGACAAGAGCCTTAAGCTGGGCCGTACTGTTGGAGCCTGGCAGAAACCCTTCCACTGCATGCGGCGGAGCCTTAACTGGGCCATAGGACAAACCCAAGGATCAGAGGGGAGCCAGTACTAGAAACTCTGTGGTTTGGGGCGACATTATAAAATGGCGCCTACGTTGCCAGGAAGTTCACAGCGATTGCCCTTTTCTGACAGGACCTTGCCCTCAACCTCGGTTCATGAGGTGGGGACAACGCTTTCCTTTCTCATGGTATCTTCCGCTTTCAGGCTCGCTTGACCTACCTCAAGAGTTCACGGAGCTGCCGCACCCCCCAAAGGTGCTCTAGGGAATCGTCTTGCTCAGATCACCTCCTCCAACACCAAGACCTGCTTGGTTGGACCACTTTTGATTTCTTGGCAGTTCTCCCGGCACTCTGGGAAGTGGCCACTTTCACAGGCATTATCTTTTATTATCAGCTTCTGAATGCAGGCCGTCTCCATTGCATATTCTCAGTATGCACGCCCCGCAGCTCTAAAATCGTCCAAATGAATTTGACCAAGGTCGTCAAGCCTCCGACCAGAACTTCGTTTTCGTAGCACGTCTTACCATGTCCCCCGGAGCCAAGTTCCGGGAAAGGAGCTGTAAAGTCTGTAACAATCCGGGCCCAATGCCCCAGCCATCCCCACCAATCCATACGCCGCTGTGAGCAGGAGCCAAGGCTTCCGGCCATGCAGCCAACATAGCCAACTAACCAGGAAGCCAACAAGAGCCAGAGGGAGCCAACGTGGTAAGGGGCTTCGCAAAATCTGACCATGGCCGTTTGTTGTGTTGCTTGGCCACGAATCGAACGAACCGAGCGAACCGAACCAGTGCCACTTAAGACCCTAAACATGCACTAAACTGCCCCTAAACCTAAACCCAGAGCTTCAACCCCAAATTTCTCTATCCCCTAAACCCTGGACCCAACCCTTCAAACTTAAACTTCATGCGAACTTCCTCAACCTCAAGTCGTTAGATCCCCACAGCCTGGGATAAGACCGAAACAAGACCAAGGACTGTTCAGGAGATTTTTTCCAACTCTAAGTTTTCCCTCCCCGCCGCGAGTGTTGTGGTTATCAATGACGTCAAAGTAGGGCCCAAGCTGCACTTGAAGCAGCTAGCCCTAGAGTTTCAAAGAGCTTCTAACACAGAACAGTGAGAACACGGCATGAAGCCTAAAGCCCACCAGCAAAAGAGAGCGGCAAACCCTTCAACAGCAACGGCAATGGTAAACTCTAATTACACCCTTCCAACGTCCTAAATGAATCCACAATTGGGTGACGAAGCCAAACAGCAAAAATATTGAAAGCGTTGCAAAGCATCATGAAAAAAGTGCACTCCACCATGAAAAGAAAAACGGCATTAGACTGACGCAAATGTTGACAGAATGCTTCACCTGCCCGGCTCTCAGTGAAAAGAAGAATGCAGATCAAGCCAGACAAAAACACGGCACACGCGTGCTCCAGTCAGAATGGAATGCATGCCCTGGACAGCAAAGGTCCGTGCCGAGAGGACGATTGCTGGTTCCGGCCCTGACCTGGCAGATTTATTCCGCACAAAACGCCGGCCTTGCCATATGCACAATGGCAGAGAGTGGCCTGAGTTGCAGCCGAAGCGGCCACCGGCACACGGGCTCTTGTACGGGACCTGCCCCCAGCCCCACCCAAAGTTCTTTGCGTACAAGCATCTTGCCCGCAGGCCCGCATGCCTTGCGCATGTCCAGCTTGAAAGACTCACTCGCAGTCGCGTGCCGCCTGGCTTTGGCACAGAAACTAGCAAAGGTGTCGTCAGTGTCCATATGCAAGCAAGCTGCGAGTGGTGCGCTTCACGACGCGAGGAAGGAGGAGCCTCGAGGAGCCAACAACAACCAACAACAGCCGACTGCAACCGAGCTGCAACCAAGCTGCCACAGCCAGCAGATGGCTTTCTAGAGACTGGGGCTCTTGCACTGCCACCGGTTCTCCGGGGCCTCTCTTGTGCTACTTGTCCGTGAGAAAGCCAGGTGGGTTGGCCTCACATCGTGTTTGCCGGTATGTAGTAGTATGTACGGGTATGTACCAGTCAATACCTTAACCCTCACCCACGAAAGTCCCAACACCATATGCCTCGTGACCAAAGCCAGTCCATCGCCATGCTCATCTCAGCGACGGGGTTTGGGCTTGGGCTGGCATATGCTGGCATAAGCTGGCATGATCTCACGGTCATGCTAAGGTGATGTGCCACGCTAGGCTGTGCAGCTTCAGCTGCCCTTCTCTCCTCACACATATGGCCACACTCATCGACGTAATCCCAGCCAATGAATCAGAGATGAAGCACACACGGCGCACCAGAAGGGCATCACCCAGACCGTGCCGAGAGAAGTCTGCGATTCCTCCGAACGTGATATCTGCGGAGCCACTGAGGCCTAACTGGCCTAACTAAACCTTAGTAGCATTTCTTGACTGTAGCGAACCTGCCAGATCGCGAGCAGCTGCAGGCACTGCCACCTCTCCCAGCAGGCTCAGCCATCGACAAGACCACACAAAAACCACTCTTGCCCCCTCTTGCTGTGACTGCCTTGTAACTATCTTGCGGTACCTTCTGGGTCTTTTGAAAGGCCGGCGACTGCGGAGCTGCGGCGGGGCGCTGGAACTGCACCGCTTGCGCCATGGATCTTCTAAGGCCCAAGTACCTGGCACAGCTCTACGGGGCCGCACAATGCCACTGACGAGTCATGAACGTCGTGACGAATTGAGTCTTCCCCGGGTACTCATCGCGCAAGCTGGGAACAGGCTCGACCTCCGCTCCCGGCTCAAGCGGTTCTGACACATTCAGGACCTGCCAAAGCCAAGTAGTTGTGTCAAATTTCTCATCTTGCGAATACCGTACCACTCAAGTGTGCCTCAGTCACTGTGATGTTGAAGATCACAGCCTTGTGGCTCCACACCGAGCTGCTCTGCACTCCAACTCTCATGGACGAAGCAACAGATGCTTACAGACGCAAGCACTGCAGGCCAGGCAGACGGCTGGACGGCTATACCTGATTGCTAGACCTGACTAAGCAAAGAACAGAGCGAAACTCCTGCGCCGTGAATGCAATCAGAGGCTCCATAGAGATGTCAGAACCTTCCGCAGAAAGGTGCAGTAGCCGCAATGCTTCAATGCTTCAAGATGACAGAAGCAAGGCACATTTTCCGACAAGGGCAGCAGGTCGAGCGTAGTCCTGCAAGCACGACGTGTCCAAAATCAGTCATTTGCTGTATCCAGTGTCTTCAAGCTGGGAGAACCTGACGGAATACAGCAACAGCCCGCCAAGACTGCAGTTGATACACCTCCGCGAGAATGCATCTTTCGCACGTACATCCATCATGCTGGATCAGCCACTTCGGCGCACCGTAGCAATGGCACAGGCTGTGCCGGTCATCACAGTGGCCTGGTCAACATCTTTTGAGCTGGGAATGGCTTGCTCATGCTTGCTCCATGGAATTAATTCCAAGAAGGTCCTTCCGTACTTGGGATCACTACCGCAAGGCGCGTTTACGTGTTGAAGCCGTCCTACTCCAGGTTCCATTGCTTGACCCACTTCTTGGGCGCTCAGCGCTTAAGGCTGCACTCTCTTTGGTCTTGGCTTAGGCTGTGTGATGCCCGGTATGTCCTGCTAGGGTGCCTAGGGTTGTTCAACCAAAAAACATGTTCAGGTTGAGGGCACATCTTCTTCGATACTTGATTCAACGTGGAGATCGCTTGTTCGTGACCGTCGGCACGACCAAGATTCTCTACTACTGAATCCGAAAAGATAATCCGGAAAGATCATACCATGTACCTGACAGAAGCGCACCTGCATTCCATTCTGTCCGAGGGCCACCAAAAGGGGGGCAGGCTAAATTAGAGTTTTTGTCTAAACCTACTAACCCTTGGAGAATTGAAAAGAAGAGCGGATTTTGAATGATTGTATGTTGAACTGGGGCAAAAAGCGCCAGCTGTTTAGATTCCTTGAGGAACGATTCGACCCAGTGCCCTCATCCCCCTTTTTGATTGCACAGAGCTCCGGATTTTCTAGCCAGTATATCCTTTGCACTTTGCAGGCGGCAACGCCAATATATCCTTTCAGGACATGCCCCCTTTACAGTTAGGAAGGACCCGGAAAAACCTTCACCAGAACTGACATGGCCATTTCGTCCCCACCTCACTCAGCAACTCCTCGAATGTTTCGAGGACGTGAGGCTCAAGCTGCAAAGCCATGCTTCTCTTGCCCTTAGCCACACCAAGAATTGACATGCTCCTAGATTGATCGAACATATTTGGGTGCCCTGCATCCCTCGTGCGGAAACGCATCTCCTTGAGGTTGTTCACGCACGTCGCCTGTGCCCCTCTCTCTCTGTCGCTGCTGCGTCTTCGACTTCGACACTGTACAAGCCAGGTGGTGCGGCACAGGTCTGAAGCACTGGGGCCCAGTCAACCGAGCAAGAATCCAAATCTTCAACGCTTCCGAGTTGTGCACGACAAAGGCTTTCAACCTACTCCACAAGAATCACGCCACGGTGATTAACGCATTCTTCTGCAACATCGGCCCTCACCTTGCGCGTGAAGTCGTCCAGCTCTATTGCCAAGCCGTACCTGCAACGAGGGCATGAAACCTGAAAGTCTACACAAATCGGAGAAGGAAGGAATCGCTCACACAATGCATCCCACAAAAACTCCGGTCCGCCGACACAGTATTGGAGCACCGTTCGCTTCAAAACAAAACCGGAAGGACCCCCTTTTTCTGTTAAGGCATAGTTGAATGCGTTATACCACATTGATGTGTTCGTAGGGTTTTAGGGTTTTAGGGTTTAGGGTTTGGGGCTGAGCTGCCGCTGTTTGCAGCTACTGCAAGCTTCGAGTTCACTTATATCAAAATCCATGCCTACATCCCTAGACCCTAACCCTAAACCCTACACTCCCAGACCCCCAAACTTCTGGACCCCTAAGCCTTAAACCAGAAATCCTAAACCTACACCCCTAAACCCAAAACCCTAAACTTAAAGCCCTACACCTAATCCTGAACCCAAAACCTATATCCAAAACCTAAACGCAAAACCTAAACCCAAAAGCTTCAACCCGAAGCTTAAATCCCAAACCCAAAACTTAACCTAAAACCTAAACCCAAAATTTGAAGCCAAAACCTGAACCCCAAACCTAAACCCAAAACCTAAACCCAAAACCCAAACCCAAACCAAAACCCAAACCAAGACAAAAATCAAAACCCAAGGTTTAGGGTTTAGAGCTAGGTAACTAGCTCTAGCTACTCCAATTGCCTAGCTCCTGATTTTTCTGGGATTCGCAGAGTATAGGCTTTGGTGTTGGAATTCGTAGAATACAGGATTAAGTTTGGGAATGAGAAAATCTGGGATTCGCAGAATATTGGCTTTGATTTTGTCGAATGCAAAAATGTTCAAGATGTCTGTTAATGAAAACATGCGGTTGCCTTTAAAACTTAGCCCACACCTAAACCTAAATATTCCTTAAAGCCTCATAGCCCCGGTAACTCCTAGAATTTCCCTAAATCCCAGAACACCCCGGTAACCCTCCATCCTAACTTCCTCAACCCTAACATCCCTAAACGCAAACATCCCTAAACACTGACACCCTACAAACCCGAACACCCCTAAATACCAACATCCCTACACCCGAACATCTCTAACCCGAAGATCCCTGAACCCGAACATCCCCAACCCCCAACATCCCCTAAACCCTAACATCCCCGTAAACCCTAACATTCCAACCCCCAAACATCCCTAAACCCAAACATCCAACAACCCTAGCATCCCTAAACCCAAACATCCCTAAACCCTCAACATCTCTAAACCTATTAACCCTGAATCCTGAAGTCTGAAGCCCAACCCTTAAGCCTCTCAAGACTTGAGCACCCAAACCAGAAGCCCTTGACCCTCATGCCTCAAGTCTTAAGCATAACTTTTAAGCACCAGAACCATGAACCCTTAACCCGAAAAATGTCAAGAGTTAAGCACCAATATCTTCAGATCTTCACCCTGACATCTCAAGAAGCACCAATACTAAGCCCTTAACGCTGAACCCTGAAGGTTGAAACAACAAAACCCTAAGCGTAACCTTAAAATTTCATTATCCTCTTGGAATGGCTGGAACAAAACTGTTCTGTCTGGCTTTTCTGCTTGCACCTACAAACCATAGCTACGCTAACATCAAGCAGAGAACAGCGGCATGCTCACCATGCAAGGCCATGTAACCGACGTACCCTGACCTTGACCGTTTTGTAGTGGATATCGACCATGTCATGGGATTTATGACAAGTGCATTCTAAACTGTGTGCCTCTGAAGGACTGTTTCTCGGTTGGTTGGGCAAAGCGTTGTTAAGCAACTTCTGCTAAAACTTGCGATGTTGAGCTAACGGATGCCAAATATAGCGTTGTCAAGCCTGATGATGCAGAGGCGCGAGCGCGCTCACATGAACAAGCCTTTTCCTCGAAAGACCTCGAGAAGCTTTCGCGAAGGATTTCATATATGACATGAGACTTAAGACTGCATGTGCCCAAATTGCTCGAAGCTCGGCTGTGACCCTTAGCACCTAAAGACTCTAAGACCTAAGCCAGGCACGGAGATTCCAATGAGGATGCAAACTGTAAGCAAAAAGCAAGTCACAGGAACCAGGCCGACCCCATAGAGACTCAAAGAAACAGTGTCCGACCAAAATATCTCTCGCTGGGACATCCCGCAGCTCAATAGCATTCCTTTGCCCGACCCCCCAGTCTCCTGCGCCCCAAGTGTGCCCATTCCATCCCGCGTGTCCCATACAGCCTGCACGGCTGCATTGCTCTTGGCACTTGCTGGCATGTTTGCTGCCGGAATTCCTTGGTTTTTGAGAATCAGCCGGCCCAGTACAATGAAAGATCCGCAAACAAGAGTTTGGCATCTCAACAGCCTGACAGGCATTCCACACAGAACCTCAGTGATTTCCTGTGATGTGTAGACAAAGAATATCCGATGATATTGGCACGTTCATGCAAAGAGGGGCTGAGGAAGCAATTGAAAGAAAAAACTGAAGATTTGCTTTCACATCGTCTCACAACAGTCTCATGCCCTAACTGACCTACATGGAAAGTACCAGGCCAGAAAGTACAGTCTGTGTACAGAGGCTTGTCTCGAACGTTGCAACTTTCAAGACACAGCAGAAGGCACTTCATCTGCAACTGATCCTGTACGACATTGCCCAGCGCCCCCACCACTCCCTTCGCTTTGGAATCCTGGTGCGGAAAGAGTTTCGAGACTTGACTTGATTCATGATTCGACTCGCAGAAGTGCCTGGATGCCCACTGGTTTTCGCCCAGCTTCACCTGCCTCAACGGCAGTTCCGTGCACAAGTGCATAACAACAGCATGCCAGAGCAATAACTACCCAAAAGAGAGTACTAGTTACCAGAGTTTCACTGAATGGCGTCCTGCGGAGTTGCAGCACATGGCGCCAAGTTGCCTCTGCCGAAAGCTGCTGATTGACCCGCACCCGCACACACACACACACACACGTGCACTTACAACTCTCAGCACGTGCACTTACAACTTCAGCAGTCTCAACGACATCATTTTCGATGAGGCTGGGGCTGTGCCGCAAGCTTATGGAAGGGTGCTCCTTTCATTGACATGAATGACAGTTCTCGCATTAAGACGAAGGCTTGTGTTCACCTCTGCGATGCCCGCCCTTGAGTTTGCTGCGTGGCGTGGTTCCTCCAGTCGCCGGTCCCAGAAAAAGCCAAAGTTTGGAAAGTAAGTCGAAGCGTGCATGAGAAATAGAACACGTAAGAACAAACATCACGTCCTCAGCCTTGTCACGGCCGAGAAGGGCTGGGCGTGGCGGCCGAACTGGGCGACGACCCCTTGATTCCTGCTCACAAGATTGTTGCTGCACATAGACACAGCCCCACCTCCAGGGCCAACCTGATCCAAGTAGTTGGAGTCAGATGACCTGTAGACATCGGTCAGATTGCCAGATATGTCGCCAAGCAAGCATTTTGCTTCACAGTCTGCTGTGGAAGAACCTTTGCCATGCCTGGAAGATGAAGGTGATGACAAGGCCTCCAAAACACACATTAGCAACATCATGCAACATCCACGTGCCATGTCCAGTAGGTACGGAATGCCTCTGCCCGATCGGACCTTAGCCGACTTCATGTGCCAACAAGTGGGTGACCGTTTTCTCTCGTCAAAGAGCTGCTCTCTCAGAGTGTTGCATCAAGACCCTGACCTGTCTCGCTGCTCCACATGCAAGTCCACATTGCATGAGTTCATCGCCGCATGGGTTGCTCATGCTCCGTCTTAGATTCTACTCTTTAGGCTTAGAGGGTCTGTGACTGTATACTATTCTCGGAAGCGAACCCATGGGCACCCTTTGAGAGTGGCGCTACGTGTGCAAAGTATGCGAGAAGTTGCAGACTCCTTCCGAAAAAGCCCGAGCGTACAAACGCAAACTACCTGTGAGAACTCGATAGCAACGGCGGACGTTTCCATCTCCGACATCGATGTGGCATTTAGGGGATAGGGTGGAGGGGTTTGGCGTTTAGGGTTTACGGTTATAAACTAGAATCCTAAAAGGGCTTATATCGGGGGATCAAAGGTACCGAACCGGTAAGGTTGAGGGGTTTCCGAAACTAGGGTTTGTACCCTTTAAGGGGGGTCCGATAAGCTTAGCAGCTTAGCTTGAGGTGATCATACACTTAGACCTGTCCGTATAAGAACGTTCGCTGAGGCTTCCACATAGGCTGATAAGTTCAACCCGTGTCCATGTCTAATACGAACAGAAGCTGTAACCGAAACGAGTACAAGCACTTTTGTTAAGTTTGCCACATCAACCTGTCAGGACGATCATCCTGTCATTGTGCTGCCATCACTGGCACCAGCAAACCCCAATTGTGGCTGAGGCGGATATGCGAAGCCTTTGCCATTCAACTCCTTTGCCGCTCTTTTTCCTCAAGCGGCACTTCCGCAGGAAAACAATTTACATTAACTTTGAGCTTGGCTAGGGCCACAATACCGTAATCATGGCCAAGCACTCAAACCACACGCGCGAAGACACTGGCCCATTTCAAGTCCATGAATGCAGGCCGACTGCCTTCTAGCTCACTGTTTGCTGCGCGCGTGGTGCGGAAACCTCTCCTTTCCGCCGTGCCTTGGGATGGACTCAATTGGACTGTTGGACGACACATGACTACACCAACGGAGTCTCTCTTGATACTTTGCTCAGGAGCACACCCGGATCCTGCCCGCAATCCAACTCATACCCTGCAGAAGCTAGTGGCATACTCAGGCGTAAGCACATGAGCCACAGAGTTCAAGATAGTTCAAGGCAACTTTAAACCGATAAGAACTGCACCGTGCATAACCAGATCAGAAGTACGTGGCAAATGCAATTCGCGAACAGGTGTGCAGGCAACAGGATGGCCGAAGCGATTGGCAACAGCTGAGCCTCACGAAGGCCTTCTCCCGTCAAAGCACAGCAACTTTGAATCTGCAGCAGGACGTTCGGCTACAAAAGACCCTTCTGCTTCATGATCCATCAGCAACTCGCTTAACAAGCGGCACCTGCCACTCGTGGGTTAGGATCTTGTGCAGCGAGAGGTCTTGAGCAATCTAGCAGGATAGCCAAGCTTCATGACAACGCTTGCAGAGCTACTACAACCAGGCCTGTCCGGCATTGCGGCTGCCCTGGATGTCCTGCACAAGAGCCAGCGGTAGCAACTGCAGCCCCAGGCGGTCCAAAATAGCTGTCCTGCTTGTTGGCAAGAACGAGAAGACAAGCATGTTTCAAGTCCTGACAACATGACAGTATGAGGCTCGAATATCAATGCAAATGCCACTTGACCGCCACGCGGAAAATACGATGCTGGGCAACGACTGCCCCTTGCTCTGCAGTATAGGCCGCTGCAGAGACTAAGCACATGACTCAAATGCCATAAAAGTCATCGAGCTTCGAAAACAGGACAGCCCCAAAAATGGGGGCAACTCGAAGCGCGGCGTAAAGGCTTGCAAAGGAAAGCGCTTGGCATCATGCTTCCCACCGTCAGCCCGAATGCTCATGCGGTTTGACAACAAGGCTGTACTCGGCTAAGTTTCATGATGGCAGTCATACAAAACGTGGTTTTGTTTTGCGGACATGTCCGGTGTGCATTCCGGGCTCCTCATGCAGAACGACATTGAACAGCTCCATTTTTGCCAGGACCATATTGTCCTGCACCAGAGAAGAGGCATTCATCACCAATTGGAAGGCCTACGAGCTTGGCACTTTATTGCCAGACTGGCATCGTGGAGTGTACCAAATGCTCTCGCACGGCGTCAAAACTAACGTTGAGCTCACATCGAAGCTTACACAAAAAACATGAAGCACCGCAGAACAACGCAACAACACACGGTTAACGGCCATGAAATCTATACACACCAAAAAAATATCCACACGAGATCACACGACTCAACATCTCGGATACAGACGCAGTTTGTGCCGCGCACTACTCTTTCAAATGCCCGCGCATTGACTTCAGAGAACCTGCTCTGACAATGTCTAGAAACTCTTTCGGCAATCATCTTCGGAACTTTGGAAGTTCGAAGGGACGGGCAGTACAAAGAGCTCACATGCCTAGGACAAGTGCTCAGGATGCTACATGCGAGCTTTCTGGGGTGCTGTACCTTTGAATTCCAGCGACGAAAATTTCTTTGGCACTTTTGGCACCTTTCGACTGAATGAAGGTTGAGGCACGGAAGATATCAGAAGAGAAGAAGTACGCTCCCAAAGCCTGGTCGTTACTGTCCACCACGAATATGATGGCATCAGCCTCCTGCATGTGATTCTCACTTTGGCAAAAACTGGCACAAAAAAACCAACGTACCTTGTCCAACCAAGGACAAACAAGGCCTCGAAATATGTGGACCAGTTTGCTCGCAGGCTCTCCTTCCATTGAGATCGCATGCTACAGAAGGGCGTCATCAACACGAAGCACGGCGTGATAGGACTCCTGCCCACCAAGATCCCAAACCTGAAAAGTCAAGTTCTCGTGCTTCACTTCTTCTACCTCCAGGATCAGTCTTCGCTTCTACCCCAGCACAATGCGGGTGACAACACAAAACCTTCAGCTTTCGGGTGGCGAACGTTGCTTCCAATGGTTGGTTGTGTCAAAACCACCTCGCGGCCAGCTCAACAGCCAATGATCTCTCTTTCACTGTGGGCTCCGTGGACAGACAGGCCTGGCCAAGATGAAGATTGTACAGAATTGTGGTCTTGCCAGCATTGTTCAATCCAACGATGACAATCCTCAGAGTTGCTTAAACACGGCCAGTACCATCTTGTGAAATTGCATATTTGACACACTTCACTTCACGACTCCTGGACAAAACACCCACGGAAAAGGTCAAACAGGTGCGAACTTGAGTTGATCTCGACAGATCCACAAACAGAAGCCATTGTTTTTCCTTTCGATTGCCTTGCACTGTCCACACCTGCAAGACACACACAAGAGCGACACCAACGGCGTACCAAACGCCGGTGATCCTTCCCGCTTACATGATTCCACTCTAAGGCTGGGACTTGCAATCTTGGTCGCTTGCGAAGAATCGACGCCAGGTGCGGCTAGCCTTTCCAATCTCTGGAAAGCTGAAGCTCACCGTTAACACACACATATACCGGGTTACGGACCCATATTCCCATTCTAAGGCGGCGAGCTGCACACTCCACAAGCCTCAACAAACTGCACAAATGTTGGCTGTTGGCAAGTGTCGATGCCGATTGACAAAATATTACGACACGCAGCAGTTCATACTCTCTCACATTCTCAGGCCTGGACGACCCACAGGCTCCAAGTCAACTTGATCATGGCTTCATTGCCGACTGTACTTACGCATGCACTTCGCCAGTGCAACAGTACACCTGAACTGTATAACTGTATAAATATACACGTGATGGCGTATCTGAACATAACGTGGAGCATGTAAAGCTGAACCGTGTCGACATATCCATAGCATCCACTGGCCTGGTGCACCGAATTTGCGCATGTCCAAATATTTTGGCAACAACGTGAATTGCCATGTTTCACCCAAATGCACACAATGCTGTAGTCCCATGCAGTCACTCTGGGGAGAACCGGGGTCCGACAAAAATGCTGGCTCCCTTTTGTGTGCCTTTACCGTTGAACCCACCACATCGCTAAACACAATTTGTCACTAGTTGCCTTCCCCGACTCGAGAAAACAGGAAGTTTCTGTTAGTTTCGTTTTGCAGGCCGCTCGCTGTCAAAGCAACCGTCAGCACCGACATGGTTCAACAGATTGAATTAATTTCACAAGAAGTATTGGAAAAAACAAAGGAGATTACATGCAAGATGGGTTTAGGTTGGTTGACTAGGGTTTGCCACAATATGCAAGTGCACAATGCTGCACGCGCATTCTTTGGTTCTCTAAACTTTTCTATGAATTTCAGGCACTTGCATCTCGGCAAATGAGGCCAAACGTGCTCACCTGCCCACAAACCAATGACACAAGCCAACTGCTAGCCAGTAAGCAGTTTCTTGCCGGATAGCAAGTCTGATCAGTATCCGAAGTTTATTTTCCATGATACCTGTCCCGGCTGCTGGCCTCTCTCATTTTTTGCCACGTTGTGCCAACACTGTGTGTGGTTTCCCGACGCCGACGCGAAAGCTCGTGCGCGAAAAAAAACTTCGGCTGTTCAAAAGTTCAAAAGCACAAAACACTAATCAGACTAAGCCGTCATGAGGTTCAATCAGAAACATGGATTTGCCGTTCACACTTTGAGCTAATGGTATCTTCGCTTTCGACAATGCATCTCAGCAGACGTTGGAATTTGATTGGCGTCATCCCGGACTAATTGCAAAGCCCAGCTTACAGGCTGAGCGGCTTGAGATCCATCACTGTCGAGCCAAGATTAAAAGCTTAGCGTACCAGGGATGATGCCCTGCCGACTGATCCTTGGGCTCTAGCTTGTTATACCTACAACCAAAACGTATGGGGGGCCATGCCTTCATAAACTGGAGGTGCTTCAGAGCCGTCTTAATTTCGAGATGACAAACATGTCTCCTACACAGGTTAGATTCAATCGCTTGGTTTCACCAGTTGATGCAAAAGTCAAATATACGCAACAACGCAAACTTGCACAAACCGTGTCACCCAGAATCCCTCGCCATACCCTGTTTGCCACTTGCACAGGTCACGGAAAAGCGGGGGGGGTGGGGGGGGCGGGGGCTCCCCTGGCTGACGAACGAATCAGAAAGCATGACTTGGAAAACGCGGAGCGGCAAATAACCGGACGACGCCCTGTGCTAAGTCGGAAAATTTCAGGCACAAATCGGAAACTGTGCTTGGCTGAGTCGCAGAACGGGGGGGTTGAATCAGAAAAGGAAAGCTCGACGCGGACACACGCCATCTCAAAAAACAATTGAAAGGTTGATCCCTAGGTCGGGCCGGCAACGCCGAATTAGAAAACACGGAAAGCTTGAATTCAGCAATGCGGAAGCTCGAAACGGACCCTCCCTTAAAGCCGACTATTACTGTTACTTTGATTTTCCCATTATTATGTATTTATATATATATATACATATATTACACCATAATATACCATAGTACACGATACCATACTATGCTTTTCAATACTATACTATGTTACAATATTTTATATTGTATTATCTTGCCCATGTGTGTGTCCTTGCCACACAACTATGATTTGAGTGAGACTGATCAGCCATTTGAGTGAGACTGATCAGCCGACCAGGTGGTCGGCTTCGTTCAAGGGCATTCGAAGCGACAGTCGACGACTAGAGGCGTCTCTGTCGCAGTATCATCAGAGCCAGCGCACCTGCCAAGCCAACTGCATTGCTTGCCGAGCTGGCCATGTTGGAATCGTCTGGCGATTTGCTATCCTTGGGATTGCTTAGACGGCCTCAGCAAAATAGCAAACCATACACCTCTAAAGAATCCATACAGATGAAATCGATCACTGCAACAAATCCCAGTATCATTGTGGGTATCATTGCTGATGTGCTCGATGGTGTCGTTGCCACCATTATTGGCGCTGCCGCTATCATTGCTGTTGCTAATGTCATTGTCGGAGTCGCCATTGGTGTCAATGCTGTCGTTCTTGCCGGAGTCGATCTTAGTGTCATTGCTTGTGTGGTTGCCGGTCTCATTGTTGGAGTCGTTGTTGGTGTCATTGCTTGTGTCGTTGCTGTCATTGCCGGTGTAGTTACTGCCGGTGTAGTTGCTAGTGTGATTGCCAGGGTCGTTGATGGCGTCAATGCTGGTGACATTGTCGATGCATGCGCAAAGTCGGTACCAACTGCCCGGTGTAGCGTGGCAACGGAATGTGGATTCGGGCCTGGAGGTACCAGTTCGGATGCAGAGTCCACTTGTGCTGGCGATACAGGGTCTTCTAGGGCAGCACCGGAATATTTTTGGCATGTGATCCCCAAGCTGCTGAACACCTGCCTTATCTCGGCGTTGCTGTCGGTATGCCCGTTCAGATCCGCGAAGTTGTGCTCCGTGCAGATCTTGCCCCTACGACTACAGGCATCGTCACAGTTCTCCTTATGCATGCCTGCGACCCATGGATAATCAGGTCCCGGCGAGGTAGTGGTTGTCGTGTTGGAACAAAGGTACCATTGCACTCACCCAAAGGGTCTGCGCGCGACTCCATGAACCAGCAATTGTAGATCCGATCCACCCTCCCACAACCGACCGCTTTCAGTCCAGTCCAGGATCCAGTCGTTCTCATGACTGCCTTGTGCCCCGAACTTCCGTGCCAACCATCGATGGCCGCCGAATTGCTACCATAGTTTTTGGCTGAAATCTCGAAGCCTGTCTTGTCGATGGATGTCAGTGTGCGAAGCTTGTTCCACATGCAGTTGGCATCGCTGCCATCATAGCCTCACTGGCTCGAGCAAACCGCCACGAAAAAAGGGTATAGACTTTTACATCAGAGCCCTCAGCCTCGAATGGGTAAGCAAACCTTGAATGGCATTTTTCAGGCCCAAGAGCCGAGAAAACAGAGAAGCTAAACCCTCAGCCCTGTGTCTATAGCCCCCCGGACCCTCGATTGGATCTGCGAAGTTTCGATCTCCCCAAATCCAAATTCCATAAGATGATGCCCCACATCAAGCCCCAAAAAGTAGGGTGTGGGTTCCCTGGGCGAAGTGGAGCTCCACACTGTCCCACCCCATAACCCTAAAGCCTAGACCCTAAATCCTGAACCCTAATTGCAGGGCTTCCTTCTCGAATCAAAACGAATCAGATCCCCTAATTGGGGAGTAAGGGGTCTCTAGATTTCATGCCAGTGCAGTAGCCCAGAAGCAGCACGAATCCCAACGAGGGGGAACTTGCGTGTCCACGCCCCAGGAATGCAAGTTGCAATTGCCTACAAGGGCCGAGTTTCGGGCGTCGGACTGCTGGTTTAGTACTTTCCTTGGGGGTTCAGGTTAGGTTTTAGGGTTTTTGGTTTAGGTTTTAGGGTTTAGGGTTTAGGGTTTAGGGTTTAGGGTTTAGGGTTTAGGGTTTAGGGTTTAGGGTTTAGGGTTTAGGGTTTAGGGTTTAGGGTTTAGGGTTTAGGGTTTAGGGTTTGGGTTTCGGGTTTAGGGTTTTTAGGGTTTAGGGTTTAGGGTTTAGGGTTTAGGGTTTAGGGTTTAGGGTTTATTTAGGTTTAGGGTTTAGGGTTTAGGGTTTAGGGTTTAGGGTTTAGGGTTTAGGGTTTAGGGTTTAGGGTTTAGGGTTTAGGGTTTAGGGTTTAGGGTTTAGGGTTTAGGGTTTAGGGTTCAGCATCTCAAGTCCAAGCATTCACTAGTCAAGCGGCTTGTCAAGCGTTGGAAAAAACACCCACCCAAAAAGCCCATAACATTGAGAAAATACACGGTTCACTCAACACATTCCCAGGGCCCAAACTCTAAAGCTCTAAACCCTTGCCCCAAACCCAATACGTAAACAAACCCTAGGGCTCTAAACCCAGGCCCCTTGGCTGGGTCCTAGACCCTATCCCCCAAACCCTAAGAGCCCTGAACCTTATGCTCCAAACGGTAAGGGCCTTCAACCCGCTGCCCCAAACCCTAGGGGCCCTAAACCCTATGCCCCAGGGCTGGGTCCTAAACCCTATATAGGCCCCAAACCCTAGCTAAACCCCATGCTCCTAGGCCCCTGTGGGGGGGACCGCAGGATCCGGCAAAAAAAGGCCGATTCCAGCTGAGTTTTGAATAGACTTTATATGGCAGAATGACCCCGTCCTTTTTCAAATTCTGGCTCAGAACCCTGAAAAGCAACATGCCGCCGAAGGGGGTCAGGGCTTAGGGCCCACCAGGGAGAAAACAAACAATATGCCGACGAAGGGCGTCAGGGTTTAAACCCACCAAACGACAAAAGCAACATGCCGACGAAGGGCGTCAGGGTTTAGGGCCCACCGGGGGAAGAAAAAAAAACAATATGCCGACGAAGGGCGTCAGGGTTTAGGGCCCACCAGGGGAGAAAAACAAGGGACCCCAGCATTCGGCCAAAAATGACCGATTCCAGATGAGTTTCAAATGGAATTTATATGGCAGAAATGACCCCTTCATTTTTCAGATTCTGGCTCAGGGCCCAGGAAAAAAATGCCGACGAAGCGTGTCAGGGCTTAGGACCCAGAAAAAACAAGATGCCGACGAATCCCATTAGGGTTTTAATA